GGTGCATGTGTCATTCATGCTAGTCCCTCTTTCTCACAGGCTTGTTTTCTACAGTATATTTTGGGAGTTTGTAAATTACTTAGCCACTATTTTTAGCCAACTGCTTCGTGTCTCCATATCAGGAATATTTTTCTTTGCCTAGTTTTATCCTGTTCCTCTCCTTCAACGCTGGAATTCATTAAATGTCTAGAGCCACACACTGTTTAAGGACAAAGTCACTGGAAAATTTTTCTGCGGGAGACGTGGGATAGTTATTCCATAGCAATGATCAGAGGGTATTTCAGACCCTGTGCTTACACGGAGTGGGTGACATCGTTCCCACTATGAAGTTCCTCAGAGTGTGCGCACATTATCACCACTTTTTCTGTCACAATGTTAATGGTTATGTTGTACCAGTGCCACACAGAAAGATATTGCCTCTCCTTACTCAGCTAAAAATCTTTCTATAGTGAGACTGGTTTGTTTCAGAGTTGTTGGATTGTCTCTGGCAAGGCTGTTATCCCTTATTCATGTGAACTTGTCACCAGGACCTATGAAAATCTGACTGATTTGTTCTGTTTTCTAGTTCGGAACTGAATTAATTGCAACTAATCTCTCAATTTGATATCACTTCAGTCATGCAGATAATGGGTGCTGAGAAAAAAAATATTTTCTTGAGGTAAAAAACCCTATTCCCTCCCCATTTATAGGTGAGAAGTGAAGTCAAAACTGCATATGCAGAATAAAGTGTGAAAGGACCACCTAGTTTAGGGATACCCATGATGTAATAAATGCTGCAATATTACAGCCTGGCACAAGTTATGCAACTAAACAATTCTGAAATAAATATTACCATGCATGTGAAAAAATGAGATGTGCAAGGAGCAGATCACAGTTCTGCCACAGGCCCTGACACTGTGCTGTCACCCTGTGATCTTGGCCCCCCCCACGTGCCCGTCCCCCTCCTGGACATTGCTCCCTGCCCAGCCGTGGCCCCATCCCATCTGCCCCGCTGAGCACATCCTGCCCGCTGGAGTCCCAGCCTGGCCTTCATGGAGACTCTGCCCACCTGCCTGCTGTCTCTGGCAGTGGGTGCAGGGCAGACAGGCCTGGGACTGGATAGGATCAATTGGCTTCTCCCTGACTCCCCCCGCAGCAGTATATAACGCAAGTACCAGCACCACTGCCAAAATACTGGTCACTTTTAGTAGGTGGCTCTTGGGATGTGAAGTTTTGAGTCTCTAGGTTTTGACGGATTAACTGTCTCCCAGGAGACATACATTTCCCCTCAGCTTCAACTAATTGCAGGTGAGCACCATGCTGTTGCAACAAAGAACCTCACACTGTTGTGGCAGGTCAGCACCCCCCCCCCCCCCC